CCCCCAAGCGAACCTCACAGCCAAATGCTCTTCTCTTCATCTCACCCATGAAATCCAATTCCTGCGGATCTTTGGAAGCGTGACCATGCTTTGTGAGGGTGTGAAACACACTTTTCCAAGGTTGGATTGCACAGGATTCCATAACCGTTATGCCCATACAATAGCAGAATGTGACTTACTGTTGTTTTGGTAAATGGAGCCGGGTTTCCATCTAGCATTTTTTTATTGTACATGACTGCATAATGAGCAGAAAATTAACATTATTTCTTCTCAGTTTGCTAAAAACAGTATTCCTAGTGGCAAATATAGTGGTCATTTGATTTACCAATGCTTCACCTCCACTCTAAGATATTTACAATTTGAAATTTGCTCGGCTTGAGTGGTAATCGATCTTCTCATCAAACTCTCACCAAGAAAGCGAATGTAGTGTATTTCCCAAGATGTCCAACAAATACTTTCAAATAATTCCTAGATTTTAAACTCATGATTAGTGACTAATTTATGGCGTGTTTTCCCCTCTCTATTCAATATCGTAGTCTTTCAATTTAACGGCATGACTCATTGGTTTCACATTCGTTTGTTATGCTTTCCCTCAAAGCACTTGGATTTCTTAAAATAAAGACTACGCTCTTGAATAAAGATAGGAAAAAAGCTCCATATTAATTGATGTATTGATAACTAGAATGACTGCCTCGCGGTTGTGCGTCACCGCCATCCAGTCTTGGTGCAGGTTGCATCCATGTCATCATTCTTATCCTATTCATTTGTGTGAAATTTCCATAATAAGCATATGAATTCTTGAATAATGGCATTTCTTCAGAATTAAGAATACCAGCCAAGAACACCAACACTTCTGCAACTCAGACTTAGTTTATCATCCGTCGCCTAAGTATTAAAGTGTTACCTTTAAAACTCAGGCAATTGTTATTCCGCTCATAGTTTAGAAACTCTTACATCAATCCCTTATGTGTGTTTGTATGCCACACACACACACACACACACACACACACACACACACACACACACACAGTACCAAGTATTTCATCCAGCATCCAGTGTGCAAGAGAACCAGGCAGGGCCCCTCTAACGCTGCCCAGGTGACACCAATAAACCCCGATAAACGGGGTCAACAATAAGTGTAGAAATATCTAATTGTGAAAAAACAACACTTCTGACATCAACCCCCCCCTCCTCCTTTAACTTCGCCTCATGTAAAGAATAAACAGTCAGAACTGCTGAAGGTTAAATCATGCTGAGCCTTAACAGCGCCAGGTTGTTTTCAGTATAAAGCAGCACAGAGTAATTGGCAACCCTTTCATCCCGCCTCCTCATTAAAGACCATGAGTTCATCTCTAATTGTGTTGACCCCACCATGACCTCTGCTCCAGTCCCTCCAACAGTGAATCAATGAGGCGTCAAGCTGCTGCTACCCAGCACGCACCACTAGGTAAACCCCCAGTCGTCTGCTACCAGCACAATAAAGGAACCACTGTCTCTATGTGCAAGCCTGAACATCATTTTGGCTCGGTCGATTGTCGAACTGGGCCTGGTTGTCACCGTGGAAACAGCCATGGTGAGATTCATGGCCGTTTGCCGGAAGACGAGAGAGTTCACAGAAGTGTTAAGGACTGATGACACAGATTACATTCCTTATTCACGTCTTTACCTTCCCTGCAGCTTTGCTCATCTCCTTGCTCTCCCTTATTGCTCAAGCTTGCCCTTCTTCCTCAAGCCTCGTATTTGCATCAGCAGGCAGAGAGAGAGAGAGAGAGAGAGAGAGAGAGAGAGAGAGAGAGAGAGAGAGAGAGAGAGAGAGAGAGAGAGAGAGAGAGAGAGAGAGAGAGTGTGTGTAACACCAGAGGCTCTTTTCCTCCAGGCATAACTAGGCGGACTGATAGAAGATTCTTCTCCCCCGCTAGGCCCGGACATTCTTTGAAGTTCTCATAAGTGGAGTTTTATAAAAGGTTCTTCGGGGAACTTACCCATGGTAAACAGGCAGGCTATGTTGTGGACCTGCACCCCGAGGGAGGTGGAGTGAGATCAGGCTTGTTTACTGTCTGAAGTGTTTAATACTTCCCTGTTTAGGGTAGCACGCAGTGTGCCGACCCTCCCCACACGCCCAGTTGTGAATATGAGTTTTCTTTGATGTAAGGAAAGCGAATGACAATTTATGTAAAAACTTAATGGAGTTACAGCTACTCAAAAGAAGCAGCGATGAAATTAGCATTTTTCTTATGCAAATGATGATCTGGCACAATACACAATCTTTGGAAAAGCAGAAGTTTATGCACACGTGGCGACCAGCAACAACAACTGCAAATGAGTCTCCTTGTAACTCTGCCCAATGACAAAACCTGAGGTTCAGTAAAGTGAAATCTTAAAGCGTTCCGCTTCACCCTTTTCTTCGGCTTATTATGTATTTTATAGCGAGACAGGAGCAAGGAATCCAAGTGCTGCTGTTGTCTGCTGCCAGGCACTGCATGAGCACGGACTGTGATTAATTCATCACCCACAGTCAGACAGGCTAGCCTCTGGTATCATGCAGCCTGAGTATCGACGCTGGCCTCTGCTGCTTTGCAGGTCACCGAGCTAATGAGTTTTTGCCTGAAATGTATTAATTAAACTCATCTCCCTCAACCAGCAGCCGAGCACATTTAATGCCAGGCTGAAGGCCAGGGAGATTAGGTGACTTAAAGTGTCATCTGCCATGCCACCCGACTCCCCCAGTCAGTTAGCAAACTAAGATGCTGTGTCAAGTAGTCACTATGAGGAGATGCGAGTATAGAAAAGGCTCTGTGTGTGTGTGTGTGTGTGTGTACTGTATATACATTTATGTCAAGGCATGATGATGAGATTTCACACTCAACAAGCCCATAGCTTCAGGGCTGCAGTTATCCAGCGTGCTGCGCTCACAATCTCCCAGCCTTGTAAAAACTCCAAGACAGCAGTCGACTCATTTAATTACTGGCCCGCTGTGATGTCATTTCATTATTGTGTTGCTTTTATGACAGTGGGATAAGATTTTCCTGTCTCAACAAAGAGACGCTGATGTCATGCCTGCAACACAGATGGAAACACAAGCTGGCCTGTAAAATATGGCTATGCTTCCATACTCTCTGTTCCTTTTGTAAAAACACTAATTGGTCTTGAGCTGAACCTCCAATACAGACACAAAATGTCCATGTTTGCCCCCTGCCCTCCTTATGCTACCCTGCAAAGCTATCAGCTGTGATACTGAGGTGAAGTGATCTCGGAATGAAGTTGTGTTACGCTGTCCTGGTAAAATGTGTAATTTCCAAACTGTAATCATGAAGCATGTAACAGTAGAATATTTATAACAGGCAAAAGAGGCCCCAGCTCAGCTGGGCCAATAAAATAAGATAAAATGAATACAACCACAAAGGCTTCCGAACAATTCCGTGTCAAAGACCCCCAAACACACTCACATTTAAGAGGTTGACTTCAAGCCCATTTAGCATTTTGTCTTAATGTATTTCTGACCGAGACACTAACACAAATCTCACATATTCTGAGAATAAACAGCATATTTCTTTGCAGAAATCCTTAGAGAAATAGATGGGAATAATATTCCAGAGAGTAAAATCTCTGACCAGATCTTTTACTCTTAAAAACCCATTATTGACCAACTTAATTTCATCACCCATCAACACTATCAGGTAAATTAGCAGAAAACAAGCGAAATTGATTCAATTTTTAAAAAAAAAACATCATTATGGTGCAATCAAACCCGAGCTGGAAGTTCCGAGATATAAAAGACACATGGCTCTCATTGAACACAGTGAACCTGGGACCGAGATTCATCAAATTTGCCAGATGTGTCTATAAATCTCACACAGTCATTTTTTTTAGCCGGGCAAGCAGCTGTTTTCAGCGACAAACCCTGTGTAGATACCTGCTCAGCACCAAACGGCAGACAGACACAGTTAGAGAGCAGCTGTTGAACATAGTGCAGCATTTAGCTGCTAAAGCGCTAATGAGTTTTTCTTCAGTTCATTGACTTTTGGATTCTGGGTCAACCTTTGGTTAAATTCAGCAGCACGTTTACGTGTTTCATTCCCAACTGCACCGATAAAGTGTTTTGATTCACAGCGGCTTGGATTGGCGTCTCTGACTGGCTTCGGTCAGCTCGCTTCTCTGTTTCTAAGCTGAGTGACACTGAGGAAATCGGTAAAACTAAAAATTAAAATTGGAATAGAGAATGGGAAAAAAACATTTCCTGAAGCAGCAGTTCCTCCCACTTTGCAACTAATTGCTAGCGTGAAAGCACTCTTTGGCTTTTTTGTTTCAACATGAATCAGATTGGTTCAACTTCAGCTCCACCGCACACTTTTTGCCCCGGTCATGTGTCGCCCCCTGCAATGTCTCTATGCGCCCTGGGGGTCCTCGCCCCACAAGTGTGAGAAACACTGCTCTACTTGAGCCGAGTTTGGTAACATTTATCTTTAGAAAGAATGTGTCTTGACCGCAATGCTAAAGACATAGATGTACAGTGTACACTTTAATATCAACTTAGAAAGTAAAGCACTCTCCAATCATACAGTACAGTCACACAAATACATTACATCATTTAAACCTTCACTGCAGATGAGTTAGCAGAGCCACATAGCTTCATCACTGAAAAGTATCTCGAGCCTTTGATCTACTAAATGATATTATAATGAATTCTTTAACATTTCTGTTTGTTCCTGCTCTCATTGAAATTCTGTGCTTTCAGCAAAGTAATATCATCCTTTTAATGTTGCGAAGCGATGGAAAGTAGATCTGAGGCCTCTATCCTGAGGGTCCTTCGAGCAATTTCCTATCCAATCACACACGCACACATGC